GCGCGTGTGCGCGTGTGCGTGTGCGTGTGCGTGTGCGTGTGCGTGTGCGTGTGCGTGTGCGTGTGCGTGTGCGTGGGCGTGCGCGTGCGGCGTGCGGCGTGGCGTGTGCGTGTGCGTGTGCGTGTGCGTGTGCGTGTGCGTGTGCGTGTGCGTGCGCGTGTGCGTGCGCGTGTGCGTGCGCGTGTGCGTGCGCGTGTGCGTGCGCGTGTGCGTGCGCGTGTGCGTGCGCGCGGCGTGCGCGCGGTGTGCGCGCGGTGTGCGCGCGGTGTGCGCGCGGTGTGCGCGCGTGCGCGCGTGCGCGCGTGTGCGCGTGTGCGCGTGTGCGCGTGTGCGCGTGTGCGCGTGTGCGCGTGTGCGCGTGTGTGCGCGTGTGCGCGTGTGCGCGTGTGCGCGTGTGCGCGCGTGTGTGCGCGTGTGCGCGTGTGCGCGTGTGCGCGTGTGCGCGTGTGCGCGTGTGAGCGTGTGTGTGTGTGTGTTTGTGTGTGTGTTTGTGTGTGTGTGTTTGTGTGTGTGTTCTCCCCAGTGTGTGTGTTTTTTCCCTACAGTGTGTGTGTGTGTTTTTATGACCCGCTTTCTCGCCTCTTGTTGATTGTGGGCACTGCCTGGCGGCAACGCCAGGTTGCGTTCGTTTGCCGACTCTGCACGCCTGCCCACGCCGCGGGGCAGATGCCTCAAGGACGTTGCCCGGCGGCGAGGCCGGGGGCCCTGCACACTCACGTCGTCGGGGCCTAAGAGACGGGGGTCAGTGCAAACGGGGGTCAGCCAGGGCACCAGATCCTGCAGGATCTTGCGAAGACCCCCTCTGGCTGACCCGCGTCAGCGAGCCGCTCGTGGCCGCGAGGCGGCCGCGCGTATTGGCTGACCCGGGGTTGCGAAGACCTGCGTGGCAGCTTTTTTTTTCCTGCATTGCAGTTTTTGGTTTCCTGCTGACCCGGGTCTGGATTGACCCGGGTCAGAAGATCCCCGACGTCGGACCGTTACCAACGTTCATCATGTCTCCCATCGCGGCATTGCCTCAAGGACGTCGGCTGGCGGCAAGGTTTACCTTTTTTGGGACACGGGCCGGCGGCATTGCCGAATTTCGTGCATCCACGGAGCCCGCTTGGAGGAAAGCGTCCGGCGGTCCTGAGCTTTCCCACGTCGAATTGCGACCAAGGCTCGTCTCCTTTTGGAAGCAGGCTGGCGGCAATGCCAGCCATCGTGCGTCCGCAGATCTTTTGCACTCCCACATCCGGGTCCGTCGCGAGGCTGTTGGCTCAAGGACGTTGCCCGGCGGCAAGGCCGGCGGTCCTGCAAGTTCTCATGTCTCTCCAGCCCGGCGGCAAGGCCAGCGGCCCTGCACGCCCACAATGGCCTGGTACTCACAGTCGTCTCCGTTGGGCGTTGCCGGGCGGCAGCGCCAGCTTGCGTGCATCAGCAGATACAGAAGGCAAATGCCTCAAGGACGTTGCCCGGCGGCAAGGCTGGCGGTCCTGCAAGTTCTCATGTCTCTCCAGCCCGGCGGCAAGGCCAGCGGCCCTGCACGCCCACAATGGCCTGGTACTCACAGTCGTCTCCGTTGGGCGTTGCCGGGCGGCAGCGCCAGCTTGCGTGCATCAGGAAGGCAAATGCCTCAAGGACGTTGCCCGGCGGCAAGGCCGGCGGTCCTGCAAGTTCTCATGTCTCTCCAGCCCGGCGGCAAGGCCAGCGGCCCTGCACGCCCACAATGGCCTGGTACTCACAGTCGTCTCCGTTGGGCGTTGCCGGGCGGCAGCGCCAGCTTGCGTGCATCAGCAGATACAGAAGGCAAATGCCTCAAGGACGTTGCCCGGCGGCAAGGCCGGCGGTCCTGCAAGTTCTCATGTCTCTCCAGCCCGGCGGCAAGGCCAGCGGCCCTGCACGCCCACAATGGCCTGGTACTCACAGTCGTCTCCGTTGGGCGTTGCCGGGCGGCAGCGCCAGCTTGCGTGCATCAGCAGATACAGAAGGCAAATGCCTCAAGGACATTGCCCGGCGGCAAGGCCGGCGGTCCTGCACATTCACGTCGAAGCGCTACCAAGGCTCGTCTATTGGATGCTGTCCAGCGGTAATGCCCGGTGGCCCCCGTCGCGAGGCAAGTGCCTCAAGAACGTCGCATGGCGGCAAGGCCAGCTATCCTGCACACTTTCACGTCGAACCGCTAACTTACCAAAGTTAGTCTCTTTTTGAACACTGGCTGGCACCAGTGCCGGCCATCGTGCATCCGCAGAGTCTGCGATTTTGCCCTCGTCGCGAGGCAGTCGCCTCAAGGACACAGCCCGGCGACAAAGCCGGCCGTCCTTCATTTCACCGATCCTTGGTTCTCACACTTCGGTCGGAAGGTCTTGGACCCCGAGCGGGTTCTTGGAGGCCCCCGAAAAGATTTCCAGATGGCCGCGGTCATCTTAATATTTTTGTTCGGGGCTCTCTTGAGGGCCTCTTGGGGCCCCTGGAGGGACCTCTCTGACACTCCTGCCACGTGCCTGCAACGGTCCTTGTACCCCTTGTACCTTGGGGCGCCGTTCCAAGGGTGGGTGATCCCTTGTGCCCCATCCGACTTTACCGGATTATGCCTACCATCAAAGGCATCAGCGCTACATTATCCTCCTCCTCCTCCTCCTCCTCCTCCTCCTCCTCCTCCTCCTCGTCCTCCTCCTCCTCCTCCTCCTGCTGCTGCTCCTCCTCCTCCTCCTCCTCCTCTTCCTCCTCTCCTCCTCTCCTCCTCCTCCTCTCCTCCTCCTCCTCCTCCTCCTCCTCCTCCTCCTCCTCCTCCTCCTCCTCCTCCTCCTCCTCCTCCTCCTCCTCCTCCTCCTCCCTCCCCCTCCCCCTCCCCCTCCCCCTCCCTCCCTCCCTCCCTCCTGGGGCCCGGAGAGCCACACCTGGTGGGGGGCAGGGCGAGCTGACCGCCCAGTGCAAGCAGGCGCGCGCGGGCTGTCCGAAACCCGCTCTCTCAGAGTCTTGGGCTTGGAGAAGCAGCAGGTTGCGCAAAAATCGAAGATCGAAGAGCGAAGTTGCTAGGCATGTTGGGTTGGCTTGTTTTCAAATGTCTGATCCGTGTGAGCTTGCTGGAGGTCATACTTCACCGTTCGCCAGAGCAACACTGCCAGCCCCGCGACACACGCCGCGCACGTCACTGAGCGGCGTGAGTTGAACGGTATGGCGCGTTTTAGGTTTCCGACCGTCTTCACTCCTCTCGTTCCCATGCTCTTCGCTCACCTCTCCCATTCTCGTCAACCCTACCTTGAGCTGGGTAGTTTCGGTTGCTTGTGCTCGGTTCTGGACTTATGTCGCAGTAGCGGGGGAAAAAAGAGAACGGGATGAGGGGAAGAGGGGAAGTCGTTTCCCCGAGGCGCCTATGGATCGGGCGCGTGGCTCGCTTTGTTGTTTCTTGATGCCTCCGAGCGTCCCCAGAGGCCTCGGAGACCTCCGAAGCCCTTCTGTTCCACGCGCGCGCGCGCGCCAAAGAAGGCAAGGAGGGAAGGAAGGGGTCCCCCGAGGTTCTCAGAAGTGCCCGCTGCTTTCTGGAAAGGGACGAAGAGAGGAAAAATAAGGGGCAGGAGGACGGACGAGGACGAAATTGAAGAGGAGGAGGAGAAGAGGAAGAAGAAGAAGAAGGAGGAAGAGGAGGAGGAGGAGGAAAGAAAATGAGGAAAATACTGAGCGGGTGAACATACTGGAAAGGTGGAGGGGAAAGGAGAGGATAGGGATGAGGATGACGATGAGGAGAAAGGGAATAAGAACAACGACGGGATAAAAGTTTGAAGACTAGGACGGTGAGAGTGACGATGAGGTGTTCCAGCAGTACGTCGCGCCAACCAGGTCCCCACGACAGATCGACCAGAGTATGGCAACGACGAGAAGGAAGGCCCAGACGAGATGACGCGCACGTGACTTGCAGCACTGCAGTTACGTTCATTCTCGAAGTCTGACGCTGTCTTCAGGCCTAAGTTCCACGTGCGCGCTGGGCGTGTCGCAAGCTGGCCCTACCGTCGTTCGGGGGCTGCCCCGCAGTCCGCGGGCTGCGCGCATGCTTGGGACATGAGCAGCACATGCAAGAGAGAAACTATGCTGAGACCACTGCGCTCTGGCACAGCAAATCACGGCCTGGATGCTTTGCTTGGCGTGTCGCTCCGCTGGCTCCGGCCCACCACGCTTCCGCGCGTCACGCCAACCACGCCCCAGCCCCCGGGTGTCAACGCGCCGAGCCTCTTCCCCGCCCCCCGCCCCGCGGAGCGGAGCGACACGCTATCCTCGGCATCGCTCGGGCGTGTGCATTTTTTCTCGGCGAGAACCATCGAGGACCATCCTGGACCATCGAGCAAAAAAAAAACACGCACGAAACAAACAAAAAAAAACGGGAATGGACGTCCGAACGACGGCAAGCCTGAAGTCGGGCGTGTCCCCCTACAGAGGGATTTTCTACGAAAAATGAGAAATACCCCAAAAATTATCAAAAAATGGTCCAAAAATAGCCTGGGGGCTATTTTTTAAAAGATTGTTTGATCATTCTAGGGGCATTTTGGGAGTTTTTTTTCGCCCAAAATCCCCCTGTAGGGGGACACGCCCGACTTCAGGCTAGCGGGTCGCGCCGCCGGTGCTGGCCCACTGCGCTTCGGCGCGGCATGCGAACAACGCCGCGGTCTCCAGGCGTCCACGGCGTAAGCCTTTCCCGGCGCCTCCCGCCGCGTGGAGCGGAGCGACATATGCTACCTCCACTCGCAGGGCACTGTGTGCGTCGCCGGTGCCGCCGCCACGGCAGGCAAAGCCAGGAGCGGGTTCGGGAGCCCTCCCGAGAGATCGTCGATGAGACGGTCGAGAGGGCCAACACTCGACTAGACGTAAGAGTGACCTTTCGCCGGAGTGACCTTTGGTGCGGGCACAGATGGACCCTCAGATGGCTGAAAACGAAGCGGTAGCAGCGGCTTGCGCACCCAGGTTTGGTCTCCCCGCGGCCCCCAAAAAGTCGCGCACCAAAGGTCACTCTTACCCAGGGTCACTCTTGCGTGTAGCCGACACACTGCAGGAATACAAATTTCAGGAGCTCCGCGCAGATTTCTCGGATCGTCGCTGGAGGCGCCGCCAGGAGAGGCGGAGGCCGAGATCAAGATGGAGAGGCAGAGAGAGGGAGCGAGGGAACGGGGAGGGGAGGTGGCGGTGGCAGGAGGCGAGGCAAGAGAGGAGGGGAGGGAGGGGAGGGAGGGGAGGGAGAGGGAGGGAGTGGAGGGAGAGGGAGGGAGGGTGAGGATTGAAAGGAGGGGGCAGGAGGGAGGGGAGGATAGGGAGGGAGTGGAGGGAGAGAGGGAGGATGGGGATGGAAAGGGCGATTAGCAGGAGGGAGGAGACTCGCCTTGCAAGTCGCATTGCAAGTCGCCAGCGCGGCAATGCGGGCTCCCGCGAGGGCTGGCTGCGTGAGCCGACTCGCCCCCTCCTCTCCTGTGCGATCCCCTCCCCCCCCCCAGAAGCCCCCAGGAGGCCCCAAGAGAGCCTCGAGAGGCCTCCTCCTCCTCCTCCTCCTCCTCCTCCTCCTCCTCCTCCTCCTCCTCCTCCTCCTCCTCCCCTCCTCCTCCTCCTCCTCCTCCTCCTCCTCCTCCTCCTCCCTCCTCTTCCTCCTCCTCCCTCTCCTCCTCCTCCCTCTTCCTCTTCCAAGGGTTCCCCCAAAAGGGGTTCTTCACCGGCTGGGCCCCGGCCTGGCTCCATGGAAAGCGGGAGGGCGTCTATGCGGAGCCACCCGCCTCCTTGGCAGCGCCCTGGCGCCTCGGCAGAAGCCCGGCCCCCTCGAGCCGCCCCCCTGGTGCGCACCGCCGGACGGAGGAGCACTGGGCGTGCCGGGTGAGGTGTCCGGACAAGCATACGTATGTCGCCGCGCCGTGTGTTCCGACCTTTTGCCCCTGAGATCTTGGCGCTGCATCTTCTGCTCGAGCCCCGCGCGCTCGCCCTGTTTCAGGCCCCCGGGACCCTCACAAATCGATGCGGCTCGAAAGATGACGCAGAAAGATGGAGTCTAGGGCTTTGGTCGTGACTTTTCACGACGTGTCAATGTTTTCGAGCTGTCGGATCTCAGGGTACGTCTTGGGTAGGGTGCTTCGGGCACCAGGGCAAGCGCCGCCTCGGGCGCGGTGGCTTACCGTGGAGTTTGCCGCGTGGCGGCCTCGTCTACTTGGGGTGCGGGACGCAGGGTTTGCTGTGGATTTGTCGTGGTGTCGGCGTCGTCCACTTGGGCGCGTTCAGTCCAACAGCGCGGCGACATGTTCGTGTTTCGATGTTCGCGCGCGTGTCGTCAACGGTTCGGATCCACATGTTCACGAATTCCAAGGCCCCCAAGGGCCTTGTCCACGGCAACTCGGTGGAGGGGATCAAGAGGTGTTCAAAACGAGCGATTCGCAAGCGGTTCGGGAACAACTGTTCGCAAAAAAATGCTCGGATCGGCCTTGGGGGAGGAAGTGCCGCGCGCAGGTGCCCAAATTCGGCGACTCTACGACCGGAGACAGGACGCCCACCCCCTCAGGGGCAGGGCTAGGGGGGGGGGATAGGATAGGGGGGAAATGTATCGACCCCCCTATCGCCCACTGATCGCCAATGGGCGGCCTGGTAGCCCCACCTCGCCCGGGACTGTGCGGATGCATTCTCGGAGGCTTGTCGCCGATCTACTGTCGATGGATCGCCGATTCCAGGTCGATGCGTCCCCCCCCTGGGCAGTTCCTCCCTATTTCGACGGCGAGCGAGGGGGGGAAGTGAGAAGGATAAGGCCCTCTCAGAAGGCGACTGGACTTCTCAGAAGCCCTCGCGACTTCTGAGCGGTTTTTGGCGTCTTCGGGGAAGGCTCAGAACACTTCTCAGAAGGCCGGCAAGCTTCTGAGCCTTCTGAGAGGGCCCTCTCCTTCTCACTTCCCCCCCTCGCTCGCCGCCAACTACTGTTGCCCCTGACCCCCGCCGCCAACTATTGTTGCCTTTCACCCCCGCCGCCTCCCGCCAGCAGGACCGCGGGAGGGCCGCTGCTCGGTCTGCTGCGGGCGGGGCAGCGCTCGCGCGCCAGGCCACAGCAGGCTCGCTCGAAGGGTGGCCCGGTCCAGGCGACGTCGGCTGACCGCCTCTCTCGACTCCCCCCACCCCCGGAGGAGGAGGAGGAGGAGGAGGAGGAGGAGGAAGGCGGGCTGAGAGGACCGGAGGGGCGAGCGGAGGGAGAGCAGGCAGGAGGATGGAGGAGCAAGGAGGCGTGCCGAGGATCGGACGAGGAGTGGGACCTCCCAGGCGTTTTTCGTCCTTCTTGGGGTCTCCGGGGAGGCTTCTCGCCGCCACCGCTGGCTCCGCCTCGAAGGAGGGGTCAGGATGAGCCCCAGAAGGGGTCCCGGCCGGGGGCCGATTTTGAGCGGATTTGGACCGGGCCAGAGAATCGCCGCTGTCTCAATGGGCCCTCCTCCGATGCGTGCCGTGTCGACGCGGCCGCGACCCCAGGGAGGTCCGTGTCGAGAGGTCTGCACTGTCGGAGCGCGGCGAACGCTCCAGGCTCAGCGATCCAGGCCGTGTCGACGGCCATCGCCGACGTCGTCGCGAAAGGAACAGCCCTTGCGTGCGGGCCCGCAGGGCGCTCCGCGGATCCTTGTTCGTTTTCGAGGAGTTCGTGGATCGACCTCCCGACCCCGGCAGAGGCCCACCTGGAGCTCGCGGAGGCAGCGCGATGGGATTTCCAGATTTGGTCAGACGTTGCGGTCAGGCGAGTGCGAGTGAGCAAGAGGGCGCAGAGAGCAGATAGAGCTGACAAGCGCCTCTCGGAGCCGCATTCACGCACCACCCGTCGCGGTGTAGTGGCTCGTCGTGGCCACCACGACGACCGTGGCCGGGGCCGCACAGGTTGCCACGACACTGGCAGCCGTTCTAAACGGGCTCCAGGGCTCCAGGAAGAAGCTGGAATGCAGCATGCCTGGAATGCCCGGAGCCATCGCACCCCGATGGCCCGAGGCCTCGCCGCTGCCGCTGCCCTCCCCGCCCGCCCCGCCCAGGATCAGCCGGAGGACGATCTCCGCTCCGTTTGGGTCGTCCACCCGCGAGAAGAGCGCGAGGACCACAGCGGGGGGCCGCGCGCCCAGGAGGTGCGGCCGGCACAGGGGTGCATTGGCATCACTCGGGGGCCTTGAGACAGGGGTCAATGCAAACGGGGGTCAGCCAGGGCACCAAGTCCTGCAGGATCCTGCGAAGACACCCTCTGGCTGACCCGGGTCAGCGAGCCGCTCGTGGCCGCGAGGCGGCCGCGCATGTTGGCTGACCCGGGTTTGCGAAGACTTGCGTTGCAGTTTTTGTTCCTGCATTGCAGTTTTTGGTTTCCTGCTGACCTGGGTCTGGATTGACCCGGGTCAGAAGATCCCCGACATCGCTCGGACGTGTGCACTTTTCCTCGGCGAGGACCATCGAGGAGCATCCTGGATCATTTTGCAAAGAAGTCGCGCAGGCAACCGAAGAACGCACGGGGAATGGACGTCCGAGCGATGGCGAGGTATTTTTTGCACGTGCTTGGGCTTGCCGCCGACGCGCGACCACCCTTTCCAGGCCCAGCAGGGAAGGGGACAGGGAAGAGAGGACGGGTGAGATGATCGGGCACGCATCAGAGATGTCAGATAGAGGAGGAGAGCAGTAAAAGATGCGCGCGCCCGAAGGCGATCCAGGAAAGAAGGAGGCACGATGGATTTGCCCGGGGTTGCCCACCGACTGACTCCATACGAATCGTCCATAATCGTGCAAGAGATTGGATTTGGACCTCGCAAAGGGACAGCGGGCACGTGAAAAGGCCCGTACCCTTGCCGACGAGACAGCAGGGGCGTCTACAAGAGAGCGGCAGGTGACGGAGCAAGAGGATTCCATGTGAGCGCCCGCGCATGCCATCGATATCGCTATGTCGGTATACCTATATGTTTGTGCGCCCTCGTCTAGATACATGCATATAGATCGCTCTATACACAAGAACAGTTGTGCATATATTTACGCGACCCTGTAATCTACAAGAGGCGCGCGCTAAGGATCATACAATTTCGGATGTGGAGCCATGGGGGATGGCGATGGCGCCAGGCTCTGCCACCGTTGGGGAAGCGCGCGAGTGTTGTGGCACACCGGCGAGTGACCATGACGAGGAAGCGACGAGCTCCCTCCTCGAGCTCGTCGGCCAAGGCCGCTTGACTCGGCACTGCCGCCGGAATCGACGGGGACGACGAGCAGGGAGACGAGGGGGGGCGGTTCCGACAGGCACGGCACGACGACGAGCACGACGAATCCGACCACGGACGGACAGCACAGTGGGACAGCGGTGGGGACAGTGGGACAGTAGTGGGCACACTGGGGACAGCGGGACAGTTGTGGGGACCGTGGGGAAAGCGGGGAGAGTGGGGCCGTGGTGGGACAATGGTGGGGAGAGTGGGGACATTGACACACTGGTGGGGGCATTGGTGGGGACAGCGGGGACAATGGTGGTAACAGTGGTGACAGTGGGACAGTGGTGGGGACGGTGGTGGTGGCTACAGTGGTGGTGGGGACAGTGGTGAAGGCGGTGGCGAGGACGGCGGTGGGACAGTGGGACAGAGGTACAGCGGGGACAGAGGTGGGGACAGTGGGGAAATTGGTGGGAACAGTGGGACAGCTCAGTGGGACAGCGGAGGAGACAGTGGGACAGTGGGGACAGTGGGGATAGTCGGGCAGTGGTTGTGGCCGTGGAGAAAGTGGGGAGAGTGGAACCGTGGTGGGAACAGTGGTGGGGACAGTGGGGACAGTGCGACAGTGGTGGGGGGCACTGGTGGGGACAGTAGGGACGGTGGTGGAGACAGCAGGGACAGTGGTGGTGAGGACAGCGGTGCTGGGAACAGCAGTGGGGGATGTAGTGCGGACTGTGGTAGGGACCGGGAGTCGTTTGCTGGCGGTGAGGGGGGGGAAGGGGTTCGAACCGGTAGTGACCCCCTTCCGGTTTTCGAAGGGGGGGGGTTCGAACCAGTAGTGACCCCCCCGGTGTTCGAGGGGGAGGGGGGGGGGGGGGTTCGACCGTAGTGACCCCCCCCGGTTTTCTGGAGGGGAGGGGGTTCGAGCTGGTAGTGACCCCCTCCGGTTTTTCCTGGAGGGGGTAGGGAAAATTCGAACCGGTAGTGGACCTTCCTCTGGTTTTCTGGGGGGAAACGGGGGGGTAGTGACCCCCTCGGTTTTCGAGGGGGAAGGGGGGACCGGTAGTGATCCCCCCCGGTTTCCTGGAGTGGGAGGGGGGGGGTTCGAACCAGTAGTGACCCCCCCCCGGTTTTCCGGAGGGGGTGAGGGGTTCGAACCGGTAGTGACCCCTTCCGGTTTTTGGGGGGGGAAGGGGGGGTTCGAACCGGTATTGACCCCCCCCGGTTTTCGAGGGGAGGGGGGGAGGGTTCGAATCGGTAGTGACCCCCCCAGTTTCCTGGAGGGAGAGGGGGGGGGGTCCAGCAGGGGAGGGGGAGGAAGGGGGGGGGGGGGGGATTTTCGGAGGGGGGGGGCCGGTTCCGGAGGAAGAGGGGGGGAATGTTCCACAGTAAAGCGGCGGTGGATCACGCTCTCTCACATCTTTCAACGTGCTCTGGCACGCCGCTCGTTGTTTTCTGGCGGCGGCAGCAGCCCTTCTTGACCTCCCCGACGCGTGGGGGGGCGCGGACGCTGATCGATCCATCTCCTGCTGGCACAGCCCAATGGCGTGGTCGGATGGAAACGGGGCGCACGCACCTCCAGGGCCTCCTGGAGCCCGCCCCCCCCCCAGCTGAGCCCTAGATGAGCTGGAGGAGGAGGAGGAGGAGGAGGAGGAGGAGGAGGAGGAGGAGGCGGAGGAGGAGGAGGGAGGAGGAGAGGGGGAGGAGGAGGAGGGGGAGGAGGAGGAGGAGGGAGGAGGAGGAGGAGGAGGAGGAGGAGGAGGAGGAGGACCATGGTTCGAAGCCGTTTGCCGCTCGCGCGTCGCCACCTGCCCGCGGCTCGCTCCACCGCGGAGCTACTGGGCGCCGCGCTGGACAAGCGCGCTAGGCAAGGAGGGCTGCTCCCAGGAAGGAGGCGGCAGCAGCACGCCTGCGAGCACGGTGCTGCTGGGGCCGCCGTGCTCGTCCGAGGGCCCCGGGCGACATCGCGACGGCGCTGGGCTGTCGGGGGCCCCCAAACGGGGTGGTGGCCACACCGTGTGGTGAGTCGGTGGGGATTCGGGGTCGCCGCACGGTTTTGGGACTTGGATCGTTCTCCGAGGATGTCTCGGGCGACTGGGGCCTCCAGGGTCCCAAAACGGGGTGGCGACGGACCCTGCGGTGAGATCCTTGCGGATTTCGAGGTCACCACCGGGTCTGTCACCACATGGTTTTGGGACCCCCAAGGCTGGCTCCTCGAGCACAGTGGAAGCCCATGCCAGGGAACACCCTGCTTGCCTCCAGGGTGCCCTGGGTTTGGGGGGCTTCGATGGCGTTTTGTGGAGAGCGTGACCCGCTCACACCAAAATCCAACGGACGTCCTGGGGTGTCAGGGGTTGGGCTTCTTGTCGAAGGTTTCTCGTGGTCGAGCTCCTGCTGCATGTCGCGGAGATTCCGCCGCCGACGTGGGGACCGTGCTGATCAGTCTCCCTGCGGAGCGTGGTCGGCCTCCTGCTGTTCCTCCGTGGTTACATTCCCCCGAGGGCGGCCTGTCTATGTCTCGGCAAGCCACTCGGGGGCGTGCGTGGGCACAGCAACGCTTAGGCGCGGCCCCCTCCCAGGTTTGCGAGAGAGGTTGGCCGAGCACGCGCGCGCGCTCAAGCACCCCCGAGGGCACCCTGGACATCGACCCCGGTACCGACGGCTGCACCGCAGTTTCGGGCCTTGTATGATGTTGCCCGCGTTTTGACTGCCAAACGAAGTGTGGGCCTTCCACTGTTAGGGTATTGTCATCCCTCGTCATCGGCCTATACAACGTCCTCGAGGCAGTGGAGACGGAGGAGCAAAGCCGCCGCCGCGGCCAAGAGATCTTGCACGTCGCTCGGAAGAGCCAGAGGGGCAGAAGCGGAGGCGGCCCCCTTCATGGCCCTCGCGGGGGCCGCACGCGGCTGCGATGCCCTGAGTGGCTGTCCATTGCACCGACTGCCTGTGCGCCTCCGGGCCTCCCGACGACATTGTTGGAGCAGCGATGCCTGGGGGGGGGCCTCGTCCGAGCCCGCGCCGCATGCTCGATCACACCGTCTCCAGTTTCAGGAACTTCACGCCCAGACTGGAAGGCTGGGCCTGCTCAAGATCTGCAAGCCCGCGCGCGCCCCTCATGGCGGCGAAGTGAAAGCCGCTATCCAGCTCTCAACATGCGGGAAGAATCATGGTGGGTTCGTTCTTGTATCAGACAGCCGGCGGCATCGAGATATTCCTGGCCATTTTGCACGCAGACGCATGGCAGCCTCCCACATCGACATGCACTTAAAAGCGATTCGGCTTCCTTCGATTCGGGTCCCTGTGTTGCGACTACCTTGCGACTTCAAGCTTGGCCACCGACGGAGATGGACCGCGTCGCAGCTGGGGCGC